TAGCTCAAGTGGTAGAGCGCTCGCCTTGAGCTGAAGAGCTGAGGGACAGCGCCCAGGCCCAGAGTTCAAGCCCCACGACTGACCAAAAAAAAAAATAAAATAAAAGCTCTTTTTATTCTTTTTGGTGGAGGTGGGATAAGGGAGGCGAAAGATGGAGTTTTTGGACTTTTCTGCCCTAGCTGGCTTTGAACCAAGGTCAGCTGGATCTCAGCCTCCTGGATAATTAGGATTATAGTTATGAGCTACTGGCATTAGGCTTTATGATTTTTCTTTTTGTTGTAATTGGTTCACAGGTTTTTTTTTTGTTGTTGTTGTTCTCTTTAAATCAGTTTAGTCCCTATTGTAAATAGTGAGTTGATACTTGCTGACATTAATGCAGGTTACTTTAAAATTCTTTTGCCCAGTTAGCCCTAGAACAGTTTGTCCTTCTCCCAAAGGGGAAAATGATATAATGAAATAGACTTAGTACACCCAGATCTTACCACCATGTGATGATTCATTTTTATTGTCCTTCACTTCAGAGACACACAGAACACTTGGGTAGTGAATTTTGAGAGCACTCGCTTCCAGTCTGTTGTATTTTACTAGCCCTGTGACTCTAAGCAATTTCTTACCTCCTTTAACATCTTTTGCAAAGTAAAGATACCCATTTTTAGGTGTTTTTTAAGCATAGAGATTATGCATTTTTGTTTTATTTTTTAAATGAGATCTCACTATGCTATAGTCCAAGCTGTCCTTAAACTTGAAATCCTCCTACCTCTGAATAGCTAGGGTTACACTGCCACTGTTGCTGGCAGCATCAGGATTATTAATTTGCCTATTGCACAGATTTCTGCGCCCCTAATAGCTCCAGGTACATAATTAAGAGTTATCACAAGCTCATATGAAACTTCCAAAAACAGTCTATGTAGGGCCTTACTAATGCATGTTTTGAAGAAGGTACAAGAACCAGAAGAGGACTGGAAACTTAATATGTCTACCCATCTTTTGTGCTGAAAACATCTGTTGTAAAAAAAGAAACAAAAAAAAACCAAGTAGCTCTGTGATTGTGGTGATAGGTCAGGTTGTACCTTGTATAACTAATATCTTAGGTTACTGCTCTGGAGATTTGCCTTTTGGTTGTCACATCCTGGTGCTTATTTTTGTGATTTTTAACAACCATATTTAGCTTATTAAAGAGTTAATTAAGGAAGTAGTCTTATATTGGTTTTGCTGGGGTGGGGGCTTGTCTTAAAGAATATATTGACTGTGGATGAATACTTTGTGAATCTTTTACTGTGAAGCTGCATGTAGCATGTGATAGACTTCAAAAGGAACAAGACATGGATACTAGCCTATCTCCATGACACATTTTATAGGTCCTCATTTGTTAGAAGTTTTGCAAAAGTATTTTTCTTTCTGTGCATGAAAAAAAAAATTCAGATAATTAAAAAGTGTTAACTGTCAAGTTGTAGTAACTAAGCTAAGCGTTAAGATGTAATACAAAGTTTTTTACACTAATTTTAATACTTCATTTATTAGCAGTCTTGCTTGAACGGTCTCTTTGAGCAGAACTAATACAATATTTTGATGTGCCACAGGTAAATATTTCCATAACCTTATGGAGAGAAAGGACTTTGAGACATGGCTTGATAACATTTCTGTTACATTTCTTTCTCTGACGGACTTGCAGAAAAATGAAACTCTGGATCACCTGATTAGTCTGAGTGGGGCAGTCCAGCTCAGGCATCTCTCCAATAACCTGGAGACCCTCCTCAAGCGGGACTTCCTCAAACTCCTTCCTCTGGAGCTCAGTTTTTATTTGTTAAAATGGCTCGATCCTCAGACTTTACTCACATGCTGCCTCGTCTCTAAACAGTGGAATAAGGTGATAAGTGCCTGTACAGAGGTGTGGCAGACTGCCTGTAACAATTTGGGCTGGCAGATAGATGATTCTGTTCAGGACGCTTTGCACTGGAAGAAGGTTTATTTGAAGGCTATTTTGAGAATGAAGCAACTGGAGGACCATGAAGCCTTTGAGACCTCATCATTAATTGGACACAGTGCCAGAGTGTATGCACTTTACTACAAAGATGGACTTCTCTGTACAGGTAAGGCACTGGGACTGGTTTCTTAGGGGTAGGATGTTCTTGTTTGTTTTTAAAATCATTTTCTGTGGTACAATCTTAACAACACACAAAGTAGTCAGTCTTGGAGAATGGTGAGTGTAATTGTTATCTTCAGTGGCATTTCCTCCCATCCTTGAGTAAGTTTCCCTTCCCTCCATATTCTCTTTTGCCATAGAGAAAAACATTTTTTAAGTTAAGATTTATGAGAAAAAGATTCAGACTTTTATGAAGTATTATCTGAGTCAGAAACCTGTAGATTACTTTTTCTATACTTTCTTACATTTTAACATTGTTTTATCAATAAACTTTTAAGAAAAAATAGTAAAAAAACAAAACAACAACAACAAAAAACAATGTTTAGTCCTTCATTTCGACAAATTACTTAATATGTCTGTGTTTGATTCCTTGTTTGTAAAATGTGGGAAGAAGATATTTCTTCCTTGTTTTAAAATCTTGCAATTCTGAGCCTGGCAATGAAGATAGTTTTAAACTAGGCAGTTAAATGACTATATTATAACATATAAAATTATTAAAATTTTAGAAGTCTGTTATTCCATTATGGCATTAACTGCGGTTTCTTCTTAGATGTCCTTTGTCATATTAAGAATAGTTCCTTCATTTGTTTATTTTTGTGTCAGTCCTGGGCACTGTTCCCGAGTTATTTTGCTCAAGGATAGTGTTCTACCACTTGAACCATAGCTTCAGTTCCAGCGTTTTTTGTGCTTAATTGGAGATAAGAGTCTCATAGACTTCCCTGCCTGGGCTGCCTTCAAACCTCCATTCTTAGATCTCAGGCTCTTGAGGAGCTAGGATTATAGGTGTGAGCTACTGGTACTCAGCTTGTACCTAGCTTATTTTTTAGTCACTAATTGGTATTGGATTTTTGTATCTAATACCAAAAGTTTTTTGTATCCATTGAGATCCATAACTTTTTTTTTTGTCCTGTTGATTGTGGGGCTTGAACTCAGGACCTGGGTGCTGTCCCTGAGCATTTCTGCTCAAGGCTAGCGCTCTTTGGGCAATTTGAGCCACAGCACCATTTCTGATTTTCTGGTTATTAATGGAGATAAAGAGTCTCAAGGATCTTCCTGCCTGGGCTGGCTTCGAACCATGATCCTTAGATCTCAGCCTCCTGAGTAGTTAGGATTATAGATGTCACCCATTGGGGACCAGCTTGAGAAAGTTTTTTGTATCTGTTAACAGAAATGAGCATGTGAGTGTTTTCTTTCATTCTACTAATATATTACATTGATGGAATTTTTTAATGTTAACTGAATCTTGCATTCCTAGGATAAATGCTATTTGGTCATAGTATATTAAAAAGTTACTTTTGACTTATGAGTATGTGTTTTCACAAATGGTTATAATCTGTGCCTACATTTTGACAGGTAATTAAATAATGCTTAGCAGTAGTTATAAAGGCTCTGGGCAGTTCCTATTGTGAGGGAGCAGTACTAGATTTGAACTGGGAGCCTTGTGCTAGACAGGTATTCTACTTTACTACTTGAACCATGCTTCTAGCCCTGCTTTTTGCTCATTATTTTGGAAATGGAGTCTAGCAACATTTCTTTCCTAAGCTGGCCTTGAACCTTGATCCTATAAGTCTCAGCCTCCTGAGTAGTCATTGGTATCTGGTTGTTCTTTTCATTGATCCAATGCCTATTTACTTAACACCTTATATATAAGGATGCTTGGTGTTCTTTTTTTCATCTAAGATAAAAATAACTTTTTTTTTTTTGGGTCCAATCATGAACTCTGGGCCTGGGCGCTGTCCCTCAGCTCTTCAGCTCAAGGCTAGCGCTCTACCACTTGAGCCACAGCGCCACTTCTGGCTTTTTTTTTCTTTTTGCTTATGTGGTGCTGAGGAATCGAACCCAGGGCCTCAGGCATGCAAGGCAAGCGCTCTACCACTGAGCCACCTTCCCAG